TAGTAGTAGTAGAAGTAGTAGCAGTAGTAGTAGTAGTAGTGGTAGTGGTAGTGGTAGTGGTAGTGGTAGTGGTACTAGTAGTGTTGGTAGTGTTAGTAGTAGTAGTAGTAGTAGTAGTAGTAGTACTAGTAGTACTAGTAGTACTAGTAGTACTAGTAGTACTAGTAGCAGCAGCAGTAGCAGTAGCAGTAGCAACTAGGGACCTGCATTGTGCACTGGGCACCGGGTGTGGGTATCGTCTGTTGGCTGTCTTCGGAATGTGCCGCAGTTGTTTGGTCTTTGGTTGGCTGCACCGTGGCGATGTGGTTTGTAGTCCCAGGGGACAAGCTAACTTCGCTTGCTGCGGGCTGTGCGGCTGCATTGTGTGTGCGTGCTGTGATCCAGGGTTGCAAAGCACAGTTGATGGCTGGGCGAATGCTGTTCTTTGCTGCAGTTCGAAGGTGTTGTGCAAGTGTGCCTTGCAAATCACAACACTAGAGTCACTGGAGCACGGTTCCATATGTAGTTCATGGCTGTTTTGTTGCGCTTGACATGTAATCAAACGACCAACCTTCAATCCATCTATCAATTATATAATCCAAGTGATCCAAAACTCCGTGATCACATCACGCATGCTCTCCTCTTTACTCCCGGCTACCTGTCCTGCTGGAAACTTTCCCTCCACGCTCTACTTGTAATAGACAAAGATAACGCGAAATGCCCATGCTAGGGGGTCAGTGCCTCGCTTAGGCCTACGTTTTGGCTCGCTTAGGACTACGTACGTCCGAGATACATGGCTACAGTATCAATAGAAAGATTTCAACAAGATAAACCCCAAAGGTGTGTAACTGTAACCAATGAATGTGTTTCATGTTGTGGCTCTTGCCTCCAGTAGTTCCCACTCTCCCCTTTCCTCTGCCCCCTGTCCCCCCCTAAAGATTAACCCTAAAGGTGTGTATCCAGTGGAGTCCAATGTGTTTGATGCCGTGCCTGTTGCCTCTAGTAGTTCCCACTGTCCCCTGTCCCGGGTCTCCTGTCCCCCCCGAAAGATTAACCCTAAAGGTGTGTATCCAATGGAGTCCAATGTGTTTGATGTCGTGTCTGTTTCCTCCAGTAGTTCCCACTGTCCCCTGTCCCCGGTCCCCTGTCCCCCCCGAAAGATTAACCCTAAAGGTGTGTATCCAATGGAGTCTAATCTGTTTGTCGTGTCTGTTACCTCTAGTAGGCCCACTGTCCCCTGTCCCCGCTAAAGAATAACCCTAAAGGTGTGTATCCAATGGAGTCCAATAAACACATGTCGTGTCTGCTACCTCTAGTAGTTAGATCCTGAAGCTTGGAACCTGTAGCTAGATCCATCAATTTTCTTCCCTTGACGTTTGGAGAGAAAGCCTCGCACGAAGCATCGATTTTGAGGTAGCAAATTAGAGGTTCCTAAGAAAACCCGTAGGAAATCGATTTTGAAGCTACAAAGTGTGAAAATTGGAGGAAGTCTCGCACGAAATGCTCGTTTTGATGCTCCCACGTGCCTCGTCTCGAGTCTCTGGTTTTCCTGTGGCCTCGCTGTGTCTATGGGGGAAGCTGCAAAACCTTTTCTTTTCGAAGGTTTCCAAGCAGGTTGTCATGTCGTTTGTGTGGCAGGCGCGGCACTTTGACATTCCAACCTGTTTGATAACGTGTCGAAAGTCTGTTTGTGTGGCAGGCGCAGTACTTTTGCGTCGTTTGCGTAAGATGTGTAGCAGTTTTCGTGGCAGCCGCGGCATGTTGGTGATCTCTGTCGTCGTTTTTCGTGGCAGGCGCAGCACTTCAGACGTGCCGCATTGCGTGCTCTACACTCCACACTCTACACTTTACACTCCACACGTCTCTACACTCTGCACTTTACACTCTACACTTTGCACTCCGCACTTCACACTCCACACTCCACACTCCACACTTGACACTCCACACCCCACACTCCACACTCTACACTTTTTACTCTACACTTTACACTCCACACTCCACACTTTACACTCCATACTCTACACTTTACACTCCACACTTTACACTCTACGCTTTACACTCCACACTTTACACTTTACACCCCACACTCCACACTCCACACTTGACACTCCACACTCCACACTTTACACTCCACACTTTACACTTTACACTGCGCACTCTACACTTTACACTGTGCACTCCACACTTCACACTTTACACTCAACACTTTACACTGCACACTTTACACTCTACACTTTACACTTTACACTCCACACTTTACACTTTACACTTCACACTCTACACTTTACATTCCACGCTTTACACTCCACACTCTACACTTTACACTCCAGACTCCACGCTTTCCGCTGTACACTCCTCACTCCACAGGTTAAACTCCACACTTTACACTGCAGACTCCACACTCTACACTTTACACTCCTCACTCCACACTGTACACTGCCCCCTCTACACTCCACGCTTTACACTCCACTTTCCACGCTACACTACACACTCTACACTCCACACTCCACACTTTACACTCTACACTTTACACTCCACACTTTACACTCCACACTTTGCACTCCACACTCCACACTTTAAAAACTTCACGCTTTACACTCCACACTTTACACTCCACATTTTACACTTGACACTCTACACTTTACACTCCACACTTTATACTCCACACTTTGCACTCTATGCTTTACACTCCACACTCTACACTCCACACTCTACACGAGACAACCTCCACTTTACACTCTACACTCCACACTCTACACTTTACACTCCACACTTTACACTCCACATTTTACAACTTACACTCTAAACTCTACACTGTACACTTTACACTCTAAACTCTACACTGTACACTTTACACTCCACACTTTACACTGCACACTCCACACTTTACACTCCACACTCTACACCTACACTTTACACTACACACTCCACACTTTACGCGTTACACTCCACACTTTGCACTCCGCACTCTACACTCTACACTTTACACTCCACACTTTACACTTGGCACTCCACACTTTACACTCCACACTTTACACTCCACACTCTACACTCTACACATTGCACTCTACACTCCACACTTGACACTCCCCACTTTACACTCTAAACTCTAAACTCTACACTGTACACTTCACACTCCACACTCCACACTCTACACTTTACACTCCACACTTTACACTCCACACTACACTCTACACTCTACACTTTACACTCCGCACTCCACACTTTACACTTTACACTCCACACTTTACACTGCACACTGTACACTCTATATACACTTTACGCTCCACACTTTACAATCCACACTCCTCAATTTGCACTCCGCAATTCAAACTCCACAATTCACACTCTACACTTTACACTGCACACTTTACACTCTACACTTTATACTCCACACTTTGCACTCCACACTTTGCACTCTATGCTTTACACTCCACACTCTACACTCCACACTCTACACTCCACACTTTACACTCCACACTCCACACTTTACACTCCACACTCCAGACCCTACACTTTACACTCCACACTCGACACTTTGCACGCCACCTTCTTCCATATTCCACAGTCTACGGTGCACTGGCATGGTAACAGGGAAAAATGTACAAAACTGTTCAAAGGAACTGTTTCACAAAACTGTTCTACGTGACTGCAAAACAATGTGTTTCGACATCTGTACCATTAACATACGTGTGAGCATTCGGGTTCGTGGGCTGCATCTTGTTTAACGCCACCTATGAGTTATGCCAGGCTTCAAGTTGCAGATGCAGTTGTTGAAACACGCGCTTCGTCCCGACGCAAAGCGCTTGGCAGAAACCTTCCAGTAGCTATGGCACTCACTTTCCTTGCTGACATGCATGAGCCAAGACAATCAAGAAATGGTCCAAATTGTGAAAACCTAGGTGTGGATCCTGTGACTGGCATTGCGTACTACACGTGGCAAGCTCATTTGTCAGTGATTTCCGCCAAAACTGAATTTACTGTACCTGCTTCACTGCACAGAAACCAAGGAATCCAAACAGCGTGGCAATCAGACAGCGGCTCATTCAATGTCCACATGACCAGCCAGAGAAGGTGCACGAACATCATCATGCTGTTAGAGTCGTTTGACGTAATGAATGTTTGTCCCCCGACCACTTTTAACAATGAACATTGTATTTCCAAATGTTTCTGGCGGTAGAAACCTTTGGAGTGGCAGAGGGCTGAGCGCCTGCGCCACAGGTTCGTGTGCGAGTTGCCCTTTTCGGCGAGAACATACAGCAGGTTGCAGATTCCTGGAAGAGAGCCGCAGCCTGGGTTGATTGAATGTGGCTGAGGGGCGGAGCATGTCCTGTCCTTGAGATTCAAAACCTTGATTTAACCTTCTTATGAGGAAGTAAGGCTAGTCGCACGTCACGCAAACTCAGGTTATTTCCAATTCCGTTTCCATTTCATGCTGATTGTCTTTCGAGGTCTTTAGCAGTGTTCTCGCCGATGGCCAGCCGGAAGATGTTGCTGCAGGAGGGGAAAACGTGGTTCACCTTTCAAGTGCTATTGGCGATGCTGTGACTTCAACCTTCCGTGGCTTGTTTTGCAAGGCGTGCTGGAAAGAGTCTCTAATCCTCTGCAATCAGAGATTGCACAGGAGCTTCCAAACGAAACAGGTTTAAGCTGGTCACTCTGAAAGTTTGTTTTGTTTGTTCCTTTGGCTATGTTGTTTGAACTCCAGGACCCGAACAGTGGCCTCTGAGAGGTTTTTCACGACGCCTCTTGTCTTGTCAATCGCAAAAATTGAAGGAACTCTCAGGCCATGGGTTCCGCTCCCACGGATGCATTGGTAAAGCTAGTGGCAAGGCAAGTTTGAGCCTTGTGCTCAAGTGCTGGTTTCACAGGAGCTGAAAGCTGGCTTCTCTTGCAAGACAACGCAAGCATAATTATACCAAACCCCTCTTTATTCAACTTGTTCAGCCAACAAATGCAAAAAGGCTGGGAAAATGTACATGTACAGACTTATGTCGCCGCAAGGCTAAAGGATTGACATACTCCAACTCTGGGAGTCTCACCTGAAGAGTTTCACGCAGTTTGCTTGCTGGACTGCTTTGACGCCGGTGAAAGGCTTAGAAAGGCCCGCAACTGCTTTCAGACCTGCTGAATGGGTCCAAGTCTGGGTTAGGATCATGCGAGATCCATTCGGAGATCCATTCGGAGATCCATTCGGAGATCCATTCGGAGATCCATTCGGACCATTGGTTACCACCAGCCAAATTCCCACTGCAATCAGCTGCTCAAGCATCCTGGTCGCTTGCCCGGCGAAGTTGGGTCAGCTGCAGCTTCTTGTAGCTCGCATAGATTAGAAGATGTACTTTTGTGCAAGCAGTGGGGCCTGCAATGTTATATTTGCCTGTGGCATGTGCGCCCAGGGCGAGTTCCAAGTATAGATACTTAGATAGGATATGATACGGCAAGATAAGGCAGGATAAGATCAGATATTGATATCACGGGTTCTAAAGTCAGACTACAACCGAGTCCCTTCCCGGAGGTCCCCACCAAGAGGCAGATGCGGGTGCACCTTTTCGCTCCAAGTTGGGCTCGGTAAATTGAGCCAGTCGGTTGATTGGCCTTGAGCCAATTGAATGGCTTGAGCCATAGTTGCAACAGTCGGAGGACGTCCCAAGGACTGTGAAAACTTTAAAAAGACCTTAGTGGGGGTGCAGTGGTACTCTGTGCTGTTTTCCCAACCGCACTCCCCCTTCCTGCTCGCAGGAATCCAGGTTCCTCAACACCAAAACAACAAGTTCAGGGGTGGCCACGTTTCCACTGGGAACTCGCCCTTCCCCCAGCCAGAAGGGCGAAGACCCTCGTGAGCCATGATCCCAGGCTGGTGTTGGTTCCCCCTTCATCCAAGGTTCACGTGGGGTTCCACTTCGGGTCGACTCCAAAAATTGAAAAACTACAGCCCTAACTTCGTAGGTTTTTTGAATTCCCTCTCTCACCAGCGCCGCACTCGAAGAGCGCCCAACGGTGTTCTTTGGGTCCAGCAGCTGATGAGCTTTTCCCTGTACTGATCTTTTCCACCGGCAGCGAATGATCTTTTCCCTGGGTCTTGATGATCTTTTTCCTCAGCCACCGATGTACTTTTCCCGGCGATCTATCCTTTTTTAGTTCTTCTTTTTCTTTTTCTTTTTTGGTTCCCACTTGCAATAGGATCCGGACTTCTTTTTTCCTTCTGATCGCCTTGAGTTGCCATTGGTTGCGGAGCTATCCCTTTTGAGGGTTTACCATGAAGTTGTATTTCACCCATCTTAGCCACACTCCCCAGAAATTCCATCCCTTGAACTGCTACCTGATCCCTCATTTCTGTGGGACCCGACCTTGGTACATCTTCAGCAGCTCGATGTTCTTTTCGATTGGACCTGGCACAATCCAAGTCCCAATGTTTCTCTTGTCCATCAGCCAGGATGGTCTTAGGGATGGGTTCTTCTTTTCCAGAACTGTGCACTTGGGTAACATGACCGTGGTGATCTTGTACCCGCAAAACTTTCAAAATTGGTGGACTTTCATCCCAAAAATGAACCCTTCTTGGTTTTGAGTTACCCCTTTTGGACCTATTACCCCGTTTTAGGATACCCCTTGGTTCTTCTTCCTCAGGATGATCTTCTTGTTCAGGGATGTTCTTCTTCTCCAAAAACGGTAAGACCGACTCCAACTGGACCCGATCCTTGACCACAGTCTCAGTGACGCGATACGCATCAGCCAGTACTTGCACCAGCCTTCCAATGGCAGTGCTCAGGGCTTCATGCCGGAATTCGGCTAGCTCTGGATATTCTTTGGCCAGACCAACCACCTTTTTCACCAATGATACGCACCGACCAGCGATGACTCGGTAGTTGTCCCATGAGGAAGTCTCCTGGTCTGGTTCTTCCGGATGGTGTTCTTCTCCCAGAGGTTGTTCTTCACGACGGTTGGACCCTGTTGGTTCCTCATTTGGAACCCCGGAACCTTGGCGATTGACAAACCTCCAGAACCTTTCCCAGCTTGGCTTCACAGCGATGATCTTTGACAGCAAATCGGCCACAAGTTTTTTCCCCGGAAGGTCTTCATTCCGACCATGTTCACCTTCTTCCGGTTGATGTTCTTCAAGACGTGCAATCCCCTTCGTGGATCTTGCCCTTGAAGCATGCATTTGTTGATCTTGTTTCGGATCCACACTTGGAAATTCGGCGTCCCAGTTTTGTTGATGTTCCAGGCTGATTTTTCTGACGATGAACTCCCCCGAGTTTGGACTTCCATCTTCTTTTGCAGGTGCCTCCCCCGAGCCTTGATCGTCTTGTCCTGAAACTTTTGAAACACAAAAGGTTGAAACTTTTGAACAGACAACGGGCTCCCCCCCTGCTGGTTCATCAGCAGGCTCCTTTTTAAATCTGGAGATTTTGGTGGAGACTTTATTCGCTTCTTCCCGCGTGAAACGTCGGTCGTTCCTCTTTTCCGTGTCCATGCGCTCGATCTCGGTGATAAGAGCCAGGGCGTGATCCCTTCGCACCACTGGACATCCAGACCGCTCCCAGCATTTGGTTTTTCCCAGTCTTGGGTGTTTCACCGCACATCCTGCACGGGACCATGTGATGGTGTATCCCAATTCCGCAAGTCCTCTGAGAGGAACTATAGGTTCCACCGGACCTTCCGATAGAAGTGTTCCATTCATGGGATTTTGGTAGAGCTGCGCGGCTCCGTGAGCTAACTCCAAAGTGACCTGCACTGCATTCTTGATCTCGTCGCTGGTACCCTGTCGTAGGGGGTGTGTTGCACCACCATCCAAGAGACCCGTGTCTTCAACTTCGGGATCCCCACCATTCCCCAACGACTTCAGCATTGGCCCCGCGATACCCTTCATGTGGTGGTTCACCTCTTGAACCGCTTGAGCGGCTCGTTCGGGTCCGGGATTGATAGAATTTTTTGGAGTGACCTTGACGGTTTTCGCTTCGCACGGTCCACATTCCGCACTCTTACCAATGGTCTTCGGCATGGGTCCAGTAATGCTTTTCAGGAGATGGTTCACTTCTTGAATCACTTCTTCATTTTCCGTAGTGATTTGCGCGGCAGTTTCCGCCTCATCCAATCCACCTTCAACGCTTTCCGGTGCGCCCGCATCTCCTTCTCCTACTGACCCCCCTTTTGGTTCACGTGACTCACTTCTTTTCCCAGCAGCACACTCACGCTTGGAGTGCCCTTTTCCAGAACAGTTGAAACATCGGCCATCTTTGGAGTCCAAGACGGTGCGCACAAACCGGCATCGCTCTGCATATCGGCACCCCTTATCAGTCAACCAGTTGACACACGCCGTCTTGTGGACCACATTAGCCGCATCAATTGGCAGCTCCGGTTTCTCCCCCTTCTTCCGGTTGAAGAGCCAGCTGCATCATCTTGTTTTCCTTTTGAACCGCCCTTGGATTTCCAGATTGATCCGGTCCACTCATAGACTTCACCCCTACCACATTGTTGGGCTTAGTCGTTGGGCCCTGTATCGTGTTCCCCGGTTGACGGAGAACCATTTCACCAGCTTCAGCTTGAAGAAGTTCAGAAAACGTTCTGATCTCTTGCATTCCTGGCCGGAGATCGATGCCCAAATGCTGCCTCACCGAAGACAATCGGTAGGCCGCCTGAGCTCCCCCCAACCTGGCTAATTTAGCGGCTAATGCATCACTCATTTTTGCGACCACTCCGGCCAAAACCAGAGGATCGGGTAAAACTAATTGAAGTTCTTCGGCACGAACTACCCACCTTCTTGCTCCTCCAACTTGGGCTTGAAGATTATACCATTGATTAGGTTGATCACCAATGAAAAAGTGTCTTCTGTTTCCGGTGGCTCCCATGCAAGGAGCTCCCATCGGTGGTCTTGACGCCGCTCCCTGCGGCATACCTCCCGGTGGTATTCCATTCAGCCACCCTTGGTTCATATACACATCCATCGGCCGAAGACATGGTTCGACCCTGGGCGCAGGAGGCACATTCCACAACGGACCTCCCGCCTTCATTTGAAGATCCTGATCATGATGATGTTGAACTCCCGGAACTGTTTGATCTTGTACAGGTTGTCCTTGGGGTGGAACACCTTGAGATGGCCCCACAGGAAAACACTGCTCGACATTCTTTTGCTCCGGAGAGGCGGTTTGATAAGACCTCCCACTTGATTGAGAGCCCTTGTGACCTCCTCCTGCTTCTTGGACCCTTTCTAGGGCACGTCTCCCTTCCCGCGTGGCTAACCAATTTTCTCGATCTTGTTGGATCTCAGTCTTGCCCCGCTGAAGGACTTCCATTACATGTTGTTTCAACTCTTCAAACTTTTCTTTCTCCCTGGCGTCAGCCTGATCAATCAGGTCTTGCGACACTACGGGATAAGTCGGCTCCTTCACTGGAGTTTGCGGGCTGCTCATTAGAGCTTCCACTCGCTTTGCAGCACTCCAGGGATTCATATCTTCTACAGCCATAACCCCAGTTACCATCCCAGGATCCACAACTGCAGTTTCCCACTGAGGTGCCATTCCCGTAGGTGGCACGCCAGCACACATTGATTGCTGGGACATCCCAACCCTGTGCCTCACCAGTTGCGGTATACACCACATATGCTCCCGCTGGCTGGTAGGCCACAGGTGGACTTGTTGGCGCCGCTGGCACCACTTGCTTGACACGTGCATCTTCAGGAGATTCAACAGGTGAACGTCCCGGTCGCTCCAAAAGAGCAATTGTTTCTACAACAGCAGCCGCACCTCCACCCACTTCAGTTGAGCTTTGGTGTTTTCCACCCTGTCTTTCTTCTCGATTACCCACAACAGGTGGTTCACGAGATCCCTCAGACATCCGGGCAACTACTGGTGTCTGCGCGATTGGTACTCCCGAAAGAGTTAGACTATTCACCCCTGGGGTCAAACCAGACAACAAATCA